AAAAAAATCCAAATGCAGTACGGGTACCGACTGGAAAAAAAAGCAAGACTCAATGAACTCATTGAAAGAAACAAAGTCAAAGAAGATGTAAAAAAATAAGAACATGAAGGTGCTACCTGCATGAATCGTATGCAGTCCACCTTAGCATCTTTCTAGACTAGTCTGTGAGCTGTCCATATGAAGCACTTGGTTTAGTTGACCTATCAGTAGACAAATGCATAAGTGTATACTGTTCATTTTATTAACAATAACTTACCAGTTGTGTGGTGTAATGTAGTAAAAAAACTTCCCAACAATCCATTTTCTTATTAGTGTCATTCCTCTCTTACTTTATCACAAGACAAGATGCAAGATCTGGTATTAAGGCTCCACATACTCCACATCTTCCTTTTGTTAATGCGGCACACACGTAAGTGAAGCCAAACTTTGGCTTTTTCAAACTCAGCTCACACTGTTTACTATCTATGACGGTAATCCTGGAACAAACCAAACATTTGTACAGCTCATAAAAAATAAAACTGGTTTCTGTGCAACATGGATCAGACAGTCCAGTGGTTAAGCGAGTAGAAAAAAGAAAAACAAGATGGTGTTGATCACTGCATGAAGTGGAAAGAGATCAAACTACATGTAACAATCCCACGCTCAGTAATTTGTAGCAGGTCAATATTGGACAATACCTGAAACTCACACCTAACCCACAGAAATAAAATTTTCCATTAAGTTTGCACTAACCTGCTTCCTTTGGTTCAGGAGCTGTATGCTATCATTTGTTCACACTGACACAGAGAGAACAGTGAGTATAATTTCAAGTTCAAGTCTTAATGTGTGTGTAGGCTTGCATTTGTGGGTACAAGAAATTTGCTTTTAATCTATCACAAGTCACATCTAAAGTTAAAGTTAAATATTACACTACTATTACTCAGGACTTTCAGAGGAAAGATTAAGGATAGAAAACAGGGCTGAGTCTATCAGAAAAAGACAGTAGAAGAGTTTTATAAACTGCCCTCCTGTGACATAAGTAGGTAGTCAGGGTCAAAGAAGAAGGAAATGAAACATCATTGAGTATTCAGTGACAGTAAATGTCATTCAGTATTCAGTGACAGTAGTTTATCATTTCTGAATCTCCGATCAAACTTGGACCCACCTATTGCTACTAGATCTACTTGGGATAGAAAAGTATAACTCAAAAACAATGAACCCAACAGAGGAAGTCAAAAGTTAAACTCTCAAAGAAAAAAATCTTGTGTTTGTAGTAAACATTTTCAATCAAACTCGTATTCCAGTTACTGTAATACAGAAGAAATATCAAACAAAAGAGTTTTCTTTTAACCGTTCTGTTATAAATCAGTTTGAAATGGTCATAATAGTCATATGATATTCATATATCATATATAATGAAGGCAAAGTGTCAGTTTTCTGATGTATTGAACATTCAAGGAGGTCAAAGGAGCATCAAGAGTAAAATCAAATAATTTTTGACAAGCAATTTAAATTTCAAAAAGCAAAACAAGACTGCCGGTTGTAAAAACCTCAGCTTCAGTCGAAAGAAATGTTGGTACATTAACCATAAAAGGAGTTTGAATACATTGTACATAGATTAAAAAACATAACGGCATAGTGAAAAGTGGAATAGGAGGTGGGGAATATTACGCAGGCAATGTCATGTGGGGGCCTATTAGCAAAGTCAATCAGGACGAAACACAACACAAAAGATGAAATAAACAGCAGTCCAGTAAGACTATGGGACCCCCCCCCCACCTCCCCCCCAAACCCCTCTTCTAAATGGATATGTTAAAACTGAAATACTGGCAGAACAAAATGTTCATACTATGTCTATAGTGCAGTCAAAAATTGGTGGCGCAACTAATCCTCAAATATCTCTTTAACCCTATCTGTACGCCCTGGAGTCATTTTGTACCTCTGGGGTTGTATTCTTCACATTTTAGAATACTTCTAGAATGAAAGCTCTTTAAAACTTCCAGTGTTTCTCATAAAATCATTTTGACGGACTGCTATGCAAAGCGTACGGATCGGATTAACGAGTAAACTTCTTCTTTGAAAGTGGTGGCACAGAGTTCCCCACGTCATATGGATACGATAGTAAAACATAACGTACGGATAGGGTCAACGGGAGAATCAATGTCATCCGTACTTTGCACAGCAGTTTGTATCAATTTGTCTTTACGTAATCATATTTTTCCACTACAATTTTGGACAAGGGAGAATGAAAATAAATCAATATAAAAGAAAAAAGGAACGACAAATACTGTTGAACTTTTGGAACATGAACATTGGTAAGAATACTCAGAAAGATCATATCTGCGCATATTATTCATAGAAAGCTGTAATTTTGCACCCCTTTCCATTGGGCACACAATTCGTAAAGAAGTTATTCCTCCAAATACAACTTTCTGTGTCTAAAGAAATTCCTTACTTTAAAAAAAATGTTAAGTCTAGGTTTTGTAAGTTGACTGAATAACAGGTATGACTTCTCGTAATTTGGTTATAAGAATAATTTCTAGCTTTCCAGTAACAATGTATCAGCACCAACCAGACTTTTCCAGCTTTTATTTTCGTTTCAATTACAATTCGCAATAACTGACAACGTTCTGATTTCTTTACACTCATAAGTGTCCACACATATTCCCGTCACAAAAACTAAGGATGAATGTGTCAGGTGTCATTATTTTTATTGAATACAAGAAGTTTATCCCTACTCATGTATTTACAGTTTTCTTCTTTTTTTAAAAAATCGCTTATCTTTCCTAGTCGGCTAGTTGTATGCAGGCTGCCACAGACACAGCATGATTCATGAACAAACGCACAGTAACTTTCTCTTGTTTAAAGGTAAAATAAGAGCTAATGCCGAGTGTCTTTTGTTTAAAAAAACAGATTTGCATCTTTCTTCTCTTATAACTTGACAATTACTACTTGTGCAGATTTAAGATTTCTCATGGTAAGAGACATGATATTTGTAGTCGACCTGCTCAGCCATTTTTAAATTAACAATCATTTATTTATTATAAGTATGTAACTGAAATAGGACAAATTGGGTACTCTACAAACAGTTGTCTTTTTGGTTTTAGTAGAGGTGTTACAGCACTTGCAACTGCATGAGGTCATATGAGTGCCAAGGGGTGGATGTCAACAGAGAAGTCCTTACAGGGAATCAGACTTACTCTGCTCACCTCTCTAGCTTCAATAGCACAAAGTCTACCTCGAATATCAAGGCACCCAGGAAATAGTGGGTCACAAGAGTGTGACAAACATACAAAAGAAGTAGAGGAAAAATGACGATAGAAAGAATTAGGAAAGAAAAAGCAATAGTTCCCTGTTGCAGTTCCGGCACAGTAATGAGCATGACATCGATGAAACAGCCCATTTACAATTCTGCTGTGTATAAGTATAAGAACAGGTTAATGTCCCCCCTTTGGGAATGACCTAAAGACACTTCAGTCGGTAGCACCGTCCCGGGGGGGGGGTACAAATAGTTGTCTAGAACAAAAACAAAGGCTCAGAAATTAACCACTCTAATGCAAAATAAATCTCAAGACATTGAGCTTTTAGTACTCAGTATAATTATTTGCAGTGCGGGATGGGGAAGAAGTTATATCGTTTCAAACGTAGACAAAAATGCAAACTTCTTTAGCGACACCGACAAAGTTGCTTCAGGGCTCATAAATCCCTTGACCCCGAGCCGGGTAGCTTCAGCAGTCCGCGGAGTCACACTAACTAAAAAAAGTCGCAGAATCGGGCGAAAAGTGATGCCATGATATATAAAAATACTCCAATCTTCGTTGCATTGAAAAATGGAAGTATTCACAGCATTTCCCACTTCTCATACATTTTGCTTACGTATGTGGCCTACATCAGAGCTCACCAATGACACTTTTGAGTGGTAAAACTTCAGCCCATGTATAATTACGATCTCCTAATAAATGACACGTGAAATTGTGAAGAATTTCTGCTCATACTTTATAATAACTAGCCTGATGAGAAGCAGCAGGATGGTGAGGAGGATACTGCAACAGGAAGGTGCCTCCGTGCGATGCCATCATTTTTGGTTTTATTAGATACTGATAAATATGTGCAATTCTTCAAACAATCTTAATAGATTATAACAAACAACTCTCATTAAAATATAATATAACTTATGATTAAAAGAAAAAAAGAACAGTGTAACCCAAAGAACATATTCAGTAGCGATACGCTGGTGCCAGTGCATTTTGGCTTGAAAATTAACAAAATGTAATCATCCATGGTTGCAGAAACGAAAAAAAAAAAATGTTGTTTCACACCAATAATTACACTAAATGTTCTTAAAACAAGAGTTCCATAAGCATAGTGTCAAGATTAGAAGAAGTAGGACGGACTTGCTTTTAAAAGTGCTATTGTCCCAACTCATAGAACGTAAGCCTTTTAAAATCTGCAGAAACCATTGACTAAAAAATATTTTTTATTAGCATATATATTTAAGAATTTTCTAGAAAACAGCCTGCAGGTGGTCAAAAAAATATTAAACTCTGTTAAGACAAATTGATTAAAGCCAATGTACAAAAGTTGGAGAGTCTATGTTCCATAGTTGAGAAGATATTTGACAATAAGTAGCGCCACGAATTATTGACCGCACTGCAGCCAAACTCATTTTCGAAAGTCAACTTTTCGACATTTGCCAAAATAACCCAAGTGATTTAAAAAGATTTCCCATTTAGACATAGAATTACATGCATGGACATATTGTCTCTGTTGAAAGAAAAAGGAGTGACTCAATTTTGCTTCCTTAACCCTGTAAAGGAGGGTCAAACCAATCAACTTAATTTTCTTGTAACAACAATGATAGACCTTCGAGTATTTTAAACTTTTCATAATGATGCCATTCATTGTCCCCCCCACCCCCGTCCCCCCCCCCCCTCCCTCTTTCACCCATTCCCTTTAACAACATCGATAAGATGAACAATTTTAAAACCGCAATAATTATCTGTTGGATTGAGCATTCTTAGTTTTTTTGTTAGTTTATTTAGCTCACTCACTCCTATCCCTAAGAATTCTCTCAAAGCAAGTTACTGCTAATGAGCTGCTACTGAACTCTTGACATGAATAATATGGTGTTGGGCTTGGGTGAATCCAGTTGCAATGATAAGGTAATGAGGTTGGTGTGTGACTGATTTCTCCTGCTCTCGACAATAAGCTGTAGAAAAAATACATGTCAAGTCAGAATTAGGTAATTTACCTCAGTTCTAGAAAGAAATACTAGTCAACAAAAGAGTGATAGAATACTATCTGCATTAAACATCGCAGGTAAAATATGACAGTCACAGATACATACTGAGCACAGTGTTTCAATCTGACAGAAGATGCAGAAGTAGACAGGCACCATCCTACAAGTTTCACTATGTGATCAAAACTATGTACAGTGGGGGGGAAAAAATAGGGGCTTTGGGGATTAAAATTACACCACTAGAAAAAAAAGCAAAGGAAAGTTGACTGCAAGACAATGACACTGTCAAAGTGAATGAGAGCATAAAATCAGTGGAAAGACAAAAAATAAATCAATAAAGGATTCTACCTTTAACATTGTACATGTAGTAAAAACAAATCTGATGAAAAACTTCGCTAATGATTGTACGCTTTCTTGCATTAAAAATTAGTTTGCAGCACAGAAACACTATCATAAGTTTCCAGTCTCTACAGGTGGCTTCTCTCAACAACATAATAATAATGACAGATAAGGGGTCATCTAAGGGATCATCTATGTCATGGATATGGATTTATACTCTAGAAGGTACTAACAAAGCTAGTTCTTGGCTATTTGCAGTGCCAACCACAGTTCCATCCACTCCTATAAAATATATTGGATGCGAAGACACTTCATCCGGATCTTGCACATCAGCTATTTTATATTGCACTAGGTTCCCATGCTGATCTCTTCCCATATATGTCTGACCAGGTCTTAAAAGCTGAACGACCTCCCCACTATCTGTAATATATTCCAAATTGTTCGGATTTCCCAAAGGAATGTCTAGACTGGAGACTTGCTCTTCCTCTTGCTCCAGGTTTGACAGATTTTCATGCTTGTCACCTACCAAAACTTCAATCATGGTCTGGTCCGTTTCCATCAAACCAGGAGTGAAAGTGGAGTCTGTAACAGCACAGAGCAAGTGACTAGGTGGAGATGAGAAAACATCACTTTGTCCATTCAAAGTAGGAGGTTCCAAGTCATTAGTAGCTGGCTTCACTTCAGCTTCTTGTGAAGATAGTGAAGGAGCTAGGAGCTCAGCAGATACTGGCAATGCTTGAGCATCACACACGGAAGGGGTTGGGTCCTGAGTTGAAAGACCGGGTATAGGCAAAGTGGCATTACGGGCAGAAAGTGAGTGAGTTAGGGGTACTGTGATTGTCTGAGATGCTGGTAAACTCAGGCTAGCATGTATTTTAGCAATGTGTCTTTGAAGGTGATGTTTTTGTCGGAAATGATAGCCGCAGTGAGGGCAGCGGAATTTCCCCTCAGTCGTGTGTGCCCGAACATGAGCTTTTCTCATCACATCAGTTTTGAATCTCCACGTGCAACCAGGGTGCGTGCAGGGGAAGGGGCGGCTGCTATCATGAACACGGCGGTGTTTCTTCAGTGTGGATTTGTCGATGTAGGCGGTACCGCAAATGTCACAGACCACAGAACCGTTTGGGTGGAGTTGTCGGTGGTGGTGAATGGCAGCGCTGTTGTTGGAGACGAATGAGCACTGGGGGCAGTGGTAGCTCTTGGTCTTGTGAGAGCGCCGATGAGCAACTAGCGTGGCCTTAGTTTTGAAAGACTTCCCACATGCATCACACAAATGGGGCCTTTCTGTGTGGTGGGAGGATTGATGGCGACGAATGTAGCGGAGTCGATTGAACACTTTGTGGCAAATGGGGCAGTGATATTTCCCAGGAACATCTTGCCGTTCCACATTCCTGACTCGTCTTTTCGACACTTTTGTTTTCATTGTGCCTGCTAAGTACTCAGACATTTTCATGACTTGAAAATTTTTGTTTGTTTGGCTGTCTCCTTGTTGCGAATCACAATTTTTTATTTCCAAAATTTCATGAATTACAAGCGTATCCTTGTGAGCGTACTTCATGTGCTTGATCAAAGATGGCCGCCAGGCAGTGGAAAATGCACAGTGCATGCATCGAAACTCTGTTCTCTCGTAAGACATTGAATTACCTTTGATATTGGTAGTTCCTAAAAGAAAATGGAAGTCTACCATCTTAGCCTCTTCCACATTATCATCTTTTGAGCTATTAAAGGTTTTAACGTTGCCGAGGGTCCTTTGAGTATCTTTGGTATTTGCTGCTACCTGAACATGTGAGTTAGTCAGCTTACTTTTGCTCTCCGGCACTTCAATTCCATTTTTGGAGTTGAATTCAATTTGATGATGACAAACCTCTAAATTACTTCCTTTCCCTAATTTCGACCCATTCTCAACATCAGCTGAACAAACAGCAGAGGAATACTCTATCTGTACAGGACAATCACTAGCTACATATTGATGAGAAGGGAACTTCACTAAATCGATGTTGGAAACAGCCTCTTTGTCCACTTTATTATGATTAGAGCAAGGAAAAGATGAACAAAAACTGTTATTTTCTTTGGAAGTCAAGCCATTTAAACCAAAATCTTTGCCTTCCAGCTCACCTTGACAGACACTACTTTGACAGCAATGAGAAGATTCTGTACCGGCACATTTAATTGTAGGACAAGATTCATTTTGTTCGATACAGAGGCATGCTTTTACTTCTTTGAAATCAGTATCATTTTTGAGATTATTGTGTTCAGAGTTCACAGTCAAAATGTGGACCTCGGAACAGTCTTCAAGTGCCACTTTGGCCAAAGTGTGAGGTACAGCTCCGGACATACAACTGGCACTCAGGCAGGACTGAGAATCTTCTTGTGTCACAACATCTACAAACAAATTTGGACTCTCATTCGAGCCTGCATTTCTCACAGTAGGTGAGATTAGAGGCGAACATTGAGACTGCAGAGGGTTGATTTTATTGACTTTATTGTCGTTGAATTTCAATATGGCCTTCGGACAGCATCGGGCACTGCACTCCTCTGAAACATATTCTGAGACTTGTGAAGTAATATCTTCAACTGTTTCACACACGGTGAGTGGGTCATTGGGGACCACTGCCAAACTCACGCTTGCCACATCATTAATGTCATGAGCACTGATCTGAATGCAATGTTGCTCATAGAGATGCTTCCTCAGACAAGCCAGGCTAACAAAGGACTCAATACATATCATGCACTCAAGCTTTGTCTCTTTGGCCAGCAGCTCTGAGAATGAATAAGAAAGTAGTAAGAACATTTTTAGAACAAGTATATGTACCTCATGAAAAATAAACACGAGAATATGAATTGGATATACAGTGGTGTCCAAAAGAAACTTGAAAATGTATTCATCCAGTCATTGTTTTAAATTTTTAAAGCATTGTACTACCTCTATTCACACAGCATGCCAATTCAAAGCTAAATATATTCTGCGTCATCTGACACATTAATATTTCATCAACGATAACAGTCCCCCTAGATGTGATCACTCAAAATTAACCTAAAAAACAGACTTGGCAACACTGTGTGAAATCACAGAAATGTAACAGTGTGTTTTCTCTTGTATTGGAGTGTATCAATATTGGTGGAATGGACATGTACTCATGTACTGAATATCAAATGACTGAAGAATATCATTGTCTCTGCAATGAACAAATTTTCAAGTTGCTAATGCATTTTTGCCAATGTATGCAAAACCAGGATAAAATTATTGTTTGATACTGACAGTGCTTTTAAGATCCCAATGTTTCATAAATAATTCAGGAGCAAAAAGATGGGTATAATCTAGAGTTTCAACCTTTTCTTTACCTGTAAACTGTTACTAGGGTCTTTTTTCTATTTGTCGGTTCAAAATAAAAAGAGCATTGTCCTCAAGGTATGAAAGTCATTTTTAAAATAAAAATTAGTCTTTATCATTTTATAAAAATGGACTTCTTCTGCTTTGAGAAACTGAAACCTCAGAAAAAAAGGCAAATTTCTCTTTGACAGCAAGATTACTCCAAGATTAAATTCTCAAACAAACGTTTTTAATTTCTGAGAGCAAGTCCTCTCATGGCACTGGCAAAAGTATTTAACCAGGGCACTCTTCTGATGTATTAAGACTTGTAAAGTGCTTCTCAAGACTATTGGGAAAAAAAAGTATAAATTAACATTTTTCTATAAATCACAGTGACCTGGTACGAGAAAAATATTTTAATCAAATGCAGCTTGAAAACATTGAATACAATTTTTTAAAAGTTTTTCCCAACTCAGTGCCCAACTCAGTTACACAGTGCCCAGCAAATCAGTAGCTAGATTACCTTTATGCTGCAACTTGTGTTCCATAAACATGGTAAAATTATGGAAAACCTCCTGGCATAGCCCACAGCTGAACTGGTCCATGCAGTCTCTCATAGCTCTGGGACTAGAACTCATCTCACATGACATTCAAAACTGGTCACCGAGGTCTGCAGAACAAAATATGACAAATGCAGCTTCCTAAATGACACAGTGCAGGACACGAACCGCTAAAGAACTAGTTTTGCTTTCACATCATATAAATGTAAAAAATGCAAAAGTGAGGCATCTTCATGAAATGAGGTGCTCATCGAAATAATGAAATCGAAGAAATCAGCATTTTTCCTTTGGTTTGGTAATTCTTATCCTAATTCTAGTTTTTTTCTCATCTCCTTTTATGTTCATTTAAAAACACATTTCTGTTTTCGTTTTACGGAAAAATGTTACCAAGGACTCATCACATGCTATTGAAGTCTACAAACTTGGCGGCCATTTTCTCGCTGATTTTACCTCTGAAACATATAGGCATTCGCCAGCTCCTTCAATCACAAATATCTGGACTCTTATTTGAAATAGATGGGTATTTTTTTTTTCACCGAGAGCAAGACAGATGAACAAGCTTTAACTATAACTATACATTATGCTAAAAAACTGACCAGCACCTGATTCCATCATGTCGAGACACATACAGTCAAACCCTCTTATACCACCTACCTTGGGAAGAACATGAAGCTGGCAGTACAGCGGAGCTGGCGATACAATGAGTTTTTCATGCCCTCTGTTAAATACTGTACAAGCAGCACTGACTGCCCGATGTCAAGGCCAAGGGAACTTATTTACCAATCACTAGATGAAGTAATGAGTTATCTCCCTTCGATCTATTACTTAGACTTGAGCCTCTCACTAAATAAAAGACCCTAAACTTTTTCGATGTCCTTTAAAACCCAAACCTATTTTTTGTGAAAGGGGAGATACCTGTCTTGTTAATGCCAAAAAATTATCTAAACCTTGTTATGCCTTGTATTTGTTAACATAAAGGATCATTCCCAAGTTCAAAGTAGTCAAACTTACGCAGACAGCCACCTCTCTCAAGACAACCACCTGTAGAAACCGCCACTTCCCATCTTTCGTTTTTTCTATAAAAGGCATTGCCCAAGATGACAATCTGTTCAACGTGGCCCAGCTACTGTATTTTATAAACCAACAACCCCACAAACCTATCCAAAATGGCACCGCAAGTCTCTCATTCCCTAGAGTGTTACCTTAAATTGCATTTATATTGACCCCTGACGCTATGAAAGAGCCCTATGAATCCATTTACCTCTGTCATTTGATACCAAAATTGACTTTTTCTGGCTGTCAGCTACTGCCGTGGAGTACCTTAATTCTTAGGATACTCCTCATACATCACTTTTGCGCTGTTTTGGATATGATCAACCCTACTCATTCCCTGTGTGGTCCATCACTATCATTTCCTGAATAAATGAAAAGCTCCCCCCTCTTTCATTCGCTTCTGTCCAGACTGGTTAATTTTTTTTTTAGACCTCTAAAATATTCTAACGGCACAAGGGGAGGACATACCAGGAAGGTAAAATTTTACTTTCATCCTCAACACAGACATACTTTTTATTATACCTAACCCGCCCTATTTTTGGGCTTCAGAACACATATGACATGTATGGCCACTAAAATCGTTGCAAATAAATTGTTTTCTAGAAAATCTTAAACCTGCTAACAACAGCAAAATATAAAAAAACATATAAAAGAAATACAAACAAGGGGAATGCCCCCTTAAGAAACAACCCCCCCCCT